TTCTTTGCCATCACAGCACGAAGACAGGCGCCACCTCCATGAAGAAGCCAGAGCCAAGCCTCAAGCCAGGTAATCACAAATCATGACCATATTTGTGCTGGCAGCGCGAGTAGCGTTGGTGCATTTGTGTTGCGTGAGCAGTGCTCTTACATATGCAAGGCGTTTGCACACACACACACATCCCTCTCACCCATGTTATCCCCTCTCACCCATGTTATCCCCTCACCGCCGCTCACCGCCCATTTGTGTGGCTGTTATCTTGCCAGGAGAAACGCCACTGCCCTCTGGCTGGCGCATGATGTTTGATGAGGACGGTGATGTCTTCTATGTTGAGTGAGTTGTTCGCACCTTTTGCGCTGTATGCACAACCACCACTGATACATGTACATTATGCGGCGTTTGCATGTGCAGCTTGTCGTCTGTATGCAAGGCAACAAACTCACCAGTGTTGACACGCGTGACTCCCCCGCCCCCTTGTTGCCATTTGCTGTGTACAGCGACAACTCTGGCACCCGCACATACGACGACCCGCGTCTACTCTGCACGGCTTTCAAGGAGACAGAGGCAGAACGGCTGGCTGAGGTACGCCCATGTCGAATCCTGTGCACGCATTGCAGTGGTCAAAGTGGTGTGCAGGCGGTGTCATTGTTGTTGTTGTGGTTGTTGTGGTTGTGGTTGTTGTGATTGTCGTTGCAGTTGCTGTGGTGGAACTGTTTGTCGTGCACGCAGTGTGTGTGTGTGTGTGTGTGTGTGTGTGTGTGTGTGTGTGTGTGTGTGTGTGTGTGTGTACACCGTGTGTGTTGACTTGTTGAATGCGCAGTGATGACGGCTCACGTTGGATGAATGCTGTGCTGGCGATGTCATTGTGTTTGCGAGCAGATGCAGGAGCGTGCTGATCGCCGCAGCCGCAAGCCGTCCTTGGCGCCAGAGCAGCTCCAGGAAGCGTGGGAGGTGAGACGCATGCGCGTGCAGTTTGTATCATACGCAGCTGGCGACAACCACAAACTACACTGTTCACACACACAAACACACACAAACACACACAAACACACACACACGAGCTGACGTAGTCCAACACTCCCATACATCCGCCACCACATGCGTACACGTGCCAGATTTGCAAGGTTGACCATGCGCGGTTCAATGCGCTGAAGCAGCACCTCACCACCCGCGACCGGCTGCCAGCGGAGGTCACGGGCAAGGGCCTCAACCGCTACATCAACATCCTTCCAAACCCGGTACGGTTCTGGTGTCTGGGCACCAGTACTAGCACCGAAGAGACCGCAGGCGTGCTTTTGCTGCGTGTGCACTGTGTTGTGCGTGTGTGAGGGGGGAGTAGGAGTGAGTGAGAGAACTTGCGGCTTTCTGCGTTTTCCGCTGATTCACATGGCCTGCGCTCATTCACTGTATGTTGTCTGTTGCAGCGCACACGCGTGAGGTTGGAGGACGAGTATGAACCGCGGACAGAGATCTCGACATACATCAACGCAAACTACATCCCAGGCCCGCAGGGGTGAGGCAGCCACAACGGTGGAGTGTTGACCATGTCATGCATCTCAAGCTTGCTCCCACACACTGATTCATGCGTGCAAACGGACACTCACACATGCATACACACACACACATGCATACACACACACACACACGCACACGTGTACATGCAGGCAACCGCGGGAGTACGTTGCAGCAATGGGCCCACTGGACAACACCATTGAGGCGTTTTGGCGAATGGTGTGGATGCTTGACAGTCCAGCCATTGTCATGACAACACCGCTGGTGCGTTGTTCAGAACGAGAGAGAGAGAGAGAGAAAGGAGAGGGAAAGGTGGTTACTCCCTCTTCCAGATGGTATGCGAGTGAGTGAGTGGTTGAGGATGAGAGTGAGAGTGAGGACTTGTTGTGTTTGTGTTTGTGCTTGAGAGTACTTCTTGTTGATGGGCAGCTTCAAGGTCCCACACATGCGCGCACTTAACTCGCTCGCTTCGTGTTCGTTTCTTCCCTGTGCATCATTGTTCAATGCAGGCGGAGAATGGTCAGGTGAAGTGTGCACGATACTGGCCGACAGTCCGGGTGAGACAACCAGCATATTCCGAACACAGCTTTACACTCTATTGTCTTGCTTGAACATGTTGCACACAGACACGCACACACACACATACACACGCACTGCCGGTGTCGCTTGCTGACGGTGCTCGCTTGCTCACCATTGGTGATGTGTGTTACATCTGGTTTTTCTTCATGCAGTACAATCTGGAGAAGAAGTGTGGAGACAAACGGTGGGGCGACATCCGCGTGGCCGTCATGAAGGGCCGCAAGCGTAAAGGATACATTGAGACGCATTTGAGGGTGACAAAGGACAGCCAGGAGCGCATGGTGCGCCACTACTGGTTCACAGACTGGCCAGACCACGGCGTCCCCGAAAGCGCAACCAACGTCATCAACATGCTGCTCGACGTCCAAGGATACTGGTGAGGCACTGAGGAGGTGTGTGTGAGGCGGGGAGTGGGTGTGGAAGGCGGTGGTGGTGGTGGTGGTGGTGTTAGTGGTGGCAGACGAGAGAAGAAAACAGTGGCACACACACATACACACACACATACACACACACATACACACATACACACATACACAGACACAGACAGAACCTGATGGTGTGTGTCCTGGAGTCTCACCCCCTGCCTCTTGTCACACCGTGCAACTTACATTGCCACTTCTGCATGGTGTTTCACCACACAGCAAAAAAGCAGACGCCACGGGACCGCCCATTGTCCACTGCAGCGCTGGGATTGGCCGGACGGGCACATTCATTGCCATTGACCACTGCATCCGCTTGCTCGAGACAACCGCATGGTGAGGGGATTCACAGGCGGGGGAGGGGCTTTGGTGGAGGCTGTTGTTTCTCAGTTAAGGGTGTGTGTGTGTGTGTGTGTGTGTGTGTGTGTGTGTGTGATATGTGTGTGATATGTGTGTGTGTTTGTGTGTGTTGGGGGGGGGTTGCGTGGATGGAACGCACGGAGCTCATCATGGCGTCACCAAAATGCTTGTGTGTGACATGATTGCAGCGTTGATCCAATTGCTGTCGTTGAGAAACTTCGTCTCGCACGTGGAGGAATGGTCCAGCATCCGCAGCAGGTGAGAACATGTTGCACCGCGCTATGCTGGTGGCTGTTGCTTGTTCGCAGCTGATAAAAGGGGGATTGTTTTGCTCACAGTAATGCATTCCTGTCACGCATTGCGTTGTTATGTTCAGTATGAGTGCGTGCAGCACGCGTGTGTGGAGTATGCAGAGATGCGCAACAAGCCCATGCGCATGCACGATCTCGACGGATCAGAGAGCGAGGATTCCTTGGTGAGTACAAGCACATGTACGCTTGCAAATGTGCGAAGAGGGGAAAAGAGAAATGGGTCTCTTTCAGTCCATGTCTGCAGTGATGCTGGGATTGTTCATTCGTTAGCAACCTGTGTCCTCACACAATCACACACATACACACACACACACACACACACACACAGCCTGCGCTGGACAGAGGGTCTGCGGGGTCGCGGATCGACTGGAAAAAGTCGCTGCGCAGCAAACGCCCGAGCGATATGGAGAACCTGATCAAACACGGCAAACCAGACGACATGCCGGTGAGTGCATGCTTTGTCTGTGTGTACGTGTGTGTATGTGTATGTGTGTGTGAGGGGGGGGGGGTGATGTGTTTGCACGTATGTATGTTGGAAATCACCCCTTTGGTCCCTCACCAACCGACATTCCATTGCAGGATGAGGAGTGGAAGAAAGTGGCGCGAAAGTACAGGAAGATGCAGGCCACCATCCGAGCAAAGCATTCTGTTCGAAGAAAGTGAGTGCACTGAAGAAAACAGAAAGGGGGAGAGGGAGAGAGAGTGTGTGTGTGTGTGTGAGAGAGAGAGAGAGAGTGTGTGTGTGTGTGTGTGTGTGTGTGCGTTGCTTCTGCTATTGGCTCGTGCCTCGTCTCACACTTTGCTCGCCAATACACTTAGAATGGACGCTGCTGAGATGGATGGGGAGTTGCGCCTGGGAACAATTTCCGGCGGGACGAGCGATGGAAAGTACCGGCCTTCCGTCATGCAAGTGTTTGAAGACCAGTAGAAGGAACCATGACCAGTCACAGTGGCGTTGCTGCGCTGGCTTGGTGGGTTCAGTGGAGTGATGTAGTCCTTCAATTGGAGTGATGTGACAGAGTGCAGAGCTTTTGATTTACGGTGCTTGTGCGCTTGCGTTTGCGTGTGTGCTTGAGTTGTAATTGATTGATTGGATTGATTGGATTGATTGGATTGATTGGATTGATTGGATTGATTGGATTGATTGGACTGCGGCTACAATGTGTTCATTCTCTTCATGGATTCTGCTTGTCAATTTCTATTTGTGAACGAAACGGGTGGCATGTGCGCATGATGATTTGAAATTGAAACGACGATGGTGAACAGGGACAGAACGTGTCGAACGGAAGAGCACAAGAACACAAGAGCACGAGAGTGCCGCTGATGCAGGGTGGAGGGAGGGTGTGCGAAGGCAAACCCGAGAGGAAAGGCAGCGACTTGTAACAGAGTAACACGGTGATGGTAATGCTGGCAATGAGAACGCGTGTGTGTCACGATGTAACGCGCCAACGCGGTAACAGGGAAACAACATAAATAAAGATGCCTCAGCAATACAAGCAGGAAGGGCAGGACTTGCTGCCAGAGCGTGGGCGGAAAAACATAAAGATAGAGCAGTGCCCTCGCAACAACAAGCACGTGCTTCAGACAAAACCAAATCAAGCGTCAAAAACGAGGATGGCACGAACAAGCACACACGATGGATCAGTGATCATGATCTCAGCTGCAGGCTTCTTGTCGCCTTGGCTCCACTGCGCATGTGTTTGAAACGGCTGTGCTGCGACAATGTTTCCCTTGGTGAAATCGACCACCGACACGTGGGCGTCATGTCCAGCCATCAATGGCCGACCCTTCAAGTGTAGATCCAGTACGGGGTATGGATTGCCGTACATGACATCGCAAGCCAGCACAAGACGGTACAGCTTCCCCGGAGTCAGGTTCAAGCAACGCAGATCAGCCGGCACATTGCGGCGGCTTGGCTTCACTTGCCGTGGATGTGTATATGCAAACGCATAGTCGAGGTCTGGTGTGAAGTACAAACCAGCACCAAACCATCCGCCATCAGTCCTTTGCAGCTGTGCAAAATCGCCGCCCAGGATGCCAACGACGGCGTCAAATGACCTCACGCCGTGGAACACTCGCTGGATGCGGATGGGTGGGTCTTGCTGCAGCAGGGTTGGATCGAGCATGCTGTACACGCCAACACAGGTGACGCGTTCCAGCAGTGCCCGCTCCTCGGCATCTGTTGCCTGGCCCGTTAACGTGTCGTGGTCGTACTTGGGCGCAAATGGGTGACTTGCGCTGGTGAGGTGGCCACGATAGCGGGTGGTGTTGCGGTGCAGGGCGCCGTTGAAGGCGACGAGCTTCTGGTCGCACCACGTGATGGCGACGCGGCTGAGACGATGACCAAACGGTGTGCGTGGGTGCTCCTGGGCGGTCCGGCCACCGGCGGCACGAAGGAGCTGGAGATTGGTGTGTGCAGATGTGTGTTGGATTCCAGTAAATGATGCCAACATCAAGCTGCTCACACTCGCGCCTGGTGAAGCCCCACGACACGCTCACACGCACGCAGGCACGCACAAATTATGTCAACACAAAGTTCACACGCACATGCACACACCTCGGTCACGGCGTCCCCGTCACGTTGCAGCGGTGCAATGTGGACGGATTGGCGAATAGACAGCTGCGTTGCGTCCACCGCGGCCAAGAGCTGCTGTGAAAACTTCCACGCCGCATCTGGTGGTCCGTGAAGCAGCAGATGTTGTTTGAGCATGTGCTGCTGATGTCTTTCCAAAGTTACCACTTCTTGCTCCCTGGTTGCACTCTGCTGCACTTTCAGGGCGGCGTGGAGCTGGGAGAAGTCACCGCGGTTGCCACTCCACTGCAAACACACGCACGTCAATGCCTGAAGAGCGGGGGTCAACCGTCGTCCCTGGATTTCGACATCGAGTGGAAGGTAGTCTTCCTCCTGGTACTTGGCCACGAGATGTGCGAATGTTATGCCGTTTTCACCGTACTGGCCGTGGTGCCAAGGCCTGATGCCCAACCACACTTCCCACATCAGGCAACCGAACGAGAAAACGTCTGTGTCTGCGCGCAATTCCTGTTGCAACAGCTGCTCTGGGGATGCCCACAATAAGGTGCCAATCACCTGGGACACTTGTGATTGACCCGGTTGACGAAATGTGCTCAAGCCAAAGTCGGTCACCTTAGCGGACAGTGACGAATCCAGCAGCACGTTGGGTGACTTGAGGTCCCGGTGAACGACGTTGTGGGCGTGCAGGAACTCCATGGCACCAGCCACTTCGCTAAGCATACGCAATCGTTGCACATCACTGAGGTCGTTGTTGTGCACGTGCATGTAATCGTACAGGGAGCCATTCTCTGCCCAGCTCAACACAAAGGCAAGCTTGTTGCTGGCGCTGTCGTGGCAGATGCCGAGAAACTGCACAATATTGGGATGGCGTAGGGAAACCAAGATCGCCACTTCTCTCAAGATCCGCTTTCCAACCCCCTGCGCCAGTGTTGCTGTGTTGGACATCTCCGCGAGGAGCTGCCGAAGTCGTGGTCGCTCCTCCACGTCATCAACCTCCTTAAGCGCCACGTCGTGTCCGGCAAGTGTGCTTCGAAATAGCCTCCCGAACGCACCCTTCACAAATTTGCCGTCACGGTCTTTGACGCGTTGCTTCTCTGTGAAGCGTGTTGGATCCATGTTCAGGTTCAGAAGCGTTTCTGAGGAGAAAGAAACAAGCAAGACAAGATCAAGTGGGGAAAGGGGAGGGAATTTTGGGCCTGGGTCAGAGATGACAAAGGGGCACAACAATTTAACATCCACACTGCACACCACCCACGCCTTTGCAATCCACGAGCCTGCTATTCCCCAAGTCGACACGAGAAGCACTCTTGCTTGGGCTGATGTTTTCTTCTCACAACTCACAACATACACCGTCAGCCAATCACTTGATCGTACCAATCTTGTCCTCAAGTTCAATGACGCCCTGAAAGTCCCGAAGCTGGTCACCTGCCATGCGCAGCACGTTTGGAGGTGAGAGCATGCATGCATGCAAGCAAGCAAGCGTGAGTCGGTTCTGCCAGGCCTGCACTCGGTGGACAAGGAGCACGCTGCAAAACAAAATGAAAACCTGTGTGGTGTTGAAATTGCATGCGTATCGAGGTATGGAGCGTTGTCACTTACGCAGTTGATACATTGTCTCATCTGTCTTCTTCATGGTTTGTCGCATTTTTTGGCGTTGGACCGTCAGCTCATGCTTCTCCATGCCTGCGATGCAACAACGACACAGCGTTAACAGTGGAGTGCTTCAACTGCGCTTCACGCTCACATGACAGGAGTTGCAGCATCGACAATGCACAGACAAGACACTTACGAAGTTGCTTGATCTCTTCATTTGCAGCTTCCAGCTGCGCCTTCTGGGGGTTAGCCGGCTCAAAGACCTCGTCTGCATGACGTTGCTCTTCAAGATGTCACAACCAACCACAAAACAGGACAACCGTCCTTGTGAGAAGATTTTGTGTCTCCTGGCATGCGATCATTAGCCGTATGTCCTGAAGACAAGAGTAATCGGGCCTTCAAAGCCTTCTTAAACTGACAAAACAGCAACTTTGCATGAGTGTGCAAGCGCACACCCGAAGAAGAACCAACCTTTTGATTCCGCCAGTCTCAGTAACTCATTCTTCTCCCCCAAAACCTGCTGCAGCCGCGCAAGCTCATGACCTGGAATGTTGTTTTTAAATGGCAGTGCACACATGTTAGTGTGCTCCATGTCACGCTGGACAGAGTTCGGATCGAGTGCAGGGCAGAGATTCAGTAAAACACGAGCATCCCGTACGCATTTCGTCAATTTCCTTTTCCTTGTCTTTCTCAGCGGCGCCCTGCGTGCAGCGGAGCAATAGGGCACAAGAAGGGCAGTTGTGGTTGGCAAGTCACTGCCGATGTTTGACAATGAGCGCAGTCGCATTGGGAACGGCAGGCAACATAGTCTTGTTGTGAAACCCAACCTTGTGGCAACGCTGCTGCATCTCGCGACCCTCTTCGAACGCAGCCTCTTCATCATCGTTCCTAAGAACCAGTGTTGGGGTAGGAACAAAATCGTGTGAAGATGGTCAGAACTTAGCACGTTGGCACATTCACAGCACATCGTCCTAGACCAGCCACACCGACGCTGAGGACACCACTTACAGTCCAATTTCAACGCCAGGGTCCAGCGGCCAACGTGCGCCGAAGGCACGAGCAGCGTCCACTCCGATCCCTTTGAGCCTTGGGTGTTGGAGGAAGTGGGGAATTGGTCATGCACATGCATTTGCGCGTGAGCGCGTGTGAGGGGGGAGCAAGGGGTCTGGGCGTGTAAATGTGGATCAACGACCAAGCAAAGAAACAAACGTACTGAATGCGTTGCAAGGCAGGATGGTCCTGTAATGCATCGACCAAAGCGTCAGCTCCCTCAACTTCAATTGCGTTGCCGCTCAAGCTGTGAAGTGCCAGTTAACAACAGTACAGGACAGGGTCGTGAATGCTGCGGAAATTCATGCAGCAGTGATACCATTCAACGAGAAGCGGCCATGGCCAAGGTCATGATAAGGACTGCACAGTTACAAGTCACGTTTCATCGCCGCTGTTGCGGATGCTCGTGCTTGAAGCAAGTGGCATCCAGCACGAGCGTCAAGAAGATGAGACAAGCTTACTTGAGCCATTCCAGTTCTTCCTGGTGTCTCAGCATTCCCACCAATGCGACAACTCCTCTCGGCCCAACAGCACAGTCCTTCAAGCTGCACAAAGGACAAGCAACTCAATTTTAAGGCCTTCGCAGGTGCAAACGTACAAGGCAGAGAAGAGAGAAGCTACCACACGGCTGACGTTTCAACCAACAGAGTGTACTGCAACATACTCGAGGAGCTCCAGATGCTGGTGGCTGCTCAATGCCTCTGCCAGCGAGATGGCTCCCTCCGTTTGGATCGGATTTCCCTGGAGCCTGACATTTGCAGCAAAGCGTGTTAGTTCAGCAAGTCGCCTTGCATGATCATACACACGCACGCGGGAGAGCAAAGAGGCAACCTGCACACAAACAGACGAACACAAGCGCACAGCAAGTCTTCACGCCCGCACCCCTGTGACTGTTGGGGCTTCAGTTCACCGCCACCAAACACACAACATACACGAGGTCGTGCAGCATTGGATGATGCTTGAGTGCCTCTGCCACGGCAGCAACTCCTTCTGGGCTGATTTCATTGCTTCTCAGCCTAGGAACCAAGAATTGAGTGTGCGCTTGCTCGTGGATGTGAGAAGAAATGGACAGGCTGCGAACACGGAAGAATTGATATCCTCCGCAGGAACAAATGCACAAAGGTTCCGCATATGCCGTGACTAGTGGAGCAATTATCTCACCATAGCTTGGTCAGCCTTGCCTTCTTCTTGACCAGCGTCAGTGCCAGTGCCAAGGCCTTTGCTCCGGTGTCGCCAAGCGCAGCCACGTTTAAGCTGATGTGTGAGCCAAGAAGGAAGTGTTCCAACAATGCGGGAACGTGTGAGCTTCATTGTCTTTGTAGCTTGCGAGGGGGCATGCGGCCACATCACAAACAGGCTCGGGTATACTGAAGCAGGCATTCCACTCCAAGCGCATCAAGGAGCGGGAGGAACATGCACGCGGGAACCCTAAACGAGAAAACAGAAATGAAGTGGCTCGCACTCGATGTCAGTTGCGCGAGCTCCGTTGGCAATGCCTCGGATGCGATCCTTGATGCTGTCTGCAAGCCCAGCTTCAGCCATCAACGTTTCCAACTCATCCATCTCCGCCTTTTTTTTTTTGTCCAGGCGCTGTTCAGTTGTTGACGTGTCACGCAGCTGCTGGCGCACTCTGAGACTCTGAGGAGACAATCCAACGTAACTTCTTGATGTTCCTGCGTTGGTTGAAAGAAATGCAAGACGGTTGGTTTGGGTCTCTCAGGAGCTCTGCGTCAAGGCGTCAAGTGCGAGGACAGCCGGGTGAGGTGAAAATGAACAAGGCAACAAGCAAGCTGCTCGTCGAATCGCGGCTTTGAGATGTGTCATGAAATGACTCCGCAAGCGCTAGGTTTGCACGAAATGACACACCATGCGATTTCTTGGTTAACGAAATTTGGTGGGTGTTCATCACCATCGATTGGGACGAGACTGCCCATCCCACGGAGAGGGGGAGGGGCGTGTCACAATGTCACATCGCTCAATTTCACGGAGAAGGGCGTGTGTCACATCAAATCACATCACAGAAGACCACTTTGTTTTGCTTTTGCTTGGAGGACATTCATTGATCATCATGACTGAAACATGGCACGGCATCATCGAGCGAAGAAATTACCAAAACAACGCACCAGCGCAATCAACGCAGACCCCCATCCACGCCGTCCTTTCTGTCCTTCTGTCTCCACACCCCTCACGCCCTCACCCCTCCTCCCTCCCCACATTCACACGCCGCAATCAAGTTGAAATGTAACGTAACAAACGCAACCGTCAAAAGAAAGAAAGAAAGAAAGAAGAAAAGAAAGCAATCTTCCTCCTCCTCGAACGCAAAAACATGCACTCGCCCTTCACGGTCCCTCGCGGTCCCTCGCGGTCCCTCGCGGTCCCTCATGTCCCACTCTTCCTGCCCCAATATTCGGCATCAGGAGCTCAGTTTTCAAACAGCTTGAGCCGGTCAGCAAACGTCAATCGCTCTGGCCGACGTGGCCCGGTGTCCGTTGTCGTCACAGCAGACATCCTGCATTCGACACATGGGATGGGGAGGTGGACAATGGCAGACGTGAGCGAATGTGCACGCACGTGCTGGCACACAACACACACAAAAGACCCACGCACGCACGCACACACACACACACACACACACACACACACACACACACACACACACGCAAAAGACCCCCCCCCCCCACACACACACACACACTCTCTCTCTCGCAACAACTCACCGCCTGGCTGCCTGGATCTGGTACCACTTTCTTCCCGTGCTGCGCAGGCCCGCGTCCGTGTATCGCGACGCCGACTGTCGTGGGGAGCGCGTGCGGTCCCTGATGTCATAAAGCAAACACACACACAAACACAAACACAAACACAAACACAAACACAAACACAAACACAAACACCGCATATAAGCGCGTTCACACATGTGCGATGGTGAATTTCAAAAAGAAGCAGGAAGTTGTCACATGACACACACAAATCAAGTAAACACACACACACGTGCGCACACACGCACACACACACACACATCATCATCATCATCATCATCATCATCATCATCATCATGACCATCACCATCCCTGACAACGCGCACCTGTCGAATGTCTTGAGGTCGATGCCAGTTGATCTGAGGCCGCGGTCGGCTGCAGAGGGCACGTCGTCCACCACAACGCTCGCGCGACGCGGCGACCCTGTCTCGTCCAGCGACGCCGATCTACGGTTTGCTTTGGCAACAGCGGTGGCAGCCGTGTTGCTGTGCACAGCGTGCGTGCGCGGCTGCAACAGCGGCTGCACGTCCTCTGCCCTCGTTGGCGCTTGCGCCTTCGCTGCCTGTGGCTGTGGCCCGGCCTGTGACCTTGGCTTCGGCAGGTCCTTCCTGCTCGCCACAGGCTGCTTCTGCTCCTGGTGCTGTGCAGCGGCCTTTGCACGTGCACTCGGTGCCCGCAGCAGGCGAGGGGCGGACGGCGGTGGCAGCTTGACCCGCGGTGACACGGGTCCACTCGTTTGCGACCGAGCCGTTGAGGTCGTACCGACAGCTGCCTCGCTGTGCCCCCGTTCCTGCCGCTCAGGCTGTTGTTCAGGCTGCTGTTGCTGCTGCTTAGCTTGTGCGTGCTGCTCATTTGCCTGTTGTCGGCGCCGTTGCCTTGGCTTGGGGAGGGGCAGCCTGTTCTGCACGAGCGTGCTGACAGCGCTGCTACTGCTGCTGCTGCTGCTGCTGGTGGTGGTGGTGGTGGTGAGCAGTTTGGCCGGCTGCACAGGCTTTGCAATGACAGGGTCGGCTGCCATGGCCGCGAGTGTTGGATATGTGGACACCACAGCATGCTCCACCTCCGGTGCGCTTGGCTGCGGATCCTGCTTTGTCTCGCCACGCCGGCGTGGCTTTGGCAGCGCCCGCAATAGTGGTTTGTATGTGGGCTCAGCACCGCTACCACTGCTGGTACTGCTTCTGGCGCTGTTGCTGACATCAGCAGCGGGCCTCTTTTCTTCCCCTTCAACGATGCCTTCTTCCTTCTTCTCAGCTGTCTTCTTCAAAGGCGCCTGTGGCGGTGCAGCGGCAACGGGCAGCTCTTCCTCGTCGTCCTCACTCGGCTCCAGCGCATCTGCAAACTCCTCTTGCTCCTCTTCCTCCGGCCGCTTGAATGTATTGACGGCAGCGGCTGCGCTGCGGAGGACCACGAGGTCTGTTGTCGATTGCGGTGCAGATGCAACTGCAGACTCCACGGCGCTCTCGGGACGGTTGTCAATGCCCACGGATGTCGTGGAGGTCACAGCAGACACATCTGGCGTCACGGCTGTCGTCGTTGCGAGCACCTCTGTCGTTGCGAGCACCTCTGTCGTTGCGAGCACCTCTGCCGTTGGCTCCGTCGTTGGCTGCGAGACACCAGCGTCGCGGCTGTCCTCTGCGGCAGCCGGTGGCGTCTTCGGTGGGGCGCCCTTGATGCCGGCCTGTCGAAGCAGGTCGTCCATGGACCGCGGCTTGAACTGCTTGTGGCGGCGCCGACGAGGCTGCGGCAGATTGTCCTTGAGCCCAAGCGCCTGCTTTGCACTGGTTGTGGCGTCAGCAGCGCCATTGCCGTGGGTTCCCTGCTCGTCGCCTTGGACAATCTCACCACCACTTGCCTTCTCACCAGCGTTGCGAGCATCGCCAGCATCGCTGCCGACATCGCTCTGGCTGCTCCGTCGAATCGCCTCGGCCGCCTCGTGCACGGCCGACGTGATGGCGTGCGTTGTCAGCACGGCAGCAGCTTCGCACGCTTCGGGTGACGCTGTGGCCTCACGATCACGGCCACGTGCGCTTGCAGCTTGGCTGTCGTGGTCAAGCTGATCGATGTCATGGCCGTAGTCGTTTGTGCTGTCGCATGTGGCGCCAGCAATGGTGACATACCCCCGGGCCTCATCCTCATTGTCGTGGTGGCAATCGCCTTCATCTTCCCTGTCCTCTGCCTCCATGGCATGCGCCCATGCGTCGTCATCCTCAAGCACGGAGTCGCTGATGACCTGCGGCCCCTGCTCGTGCACCTCTTCCTGCTGACCTTCCCACGCCTTCCTCTCCTCCACATGCTGCTGCTGCTGCTGCTGCTGCTGTTGCTGCTGTTGATCGTTGTGCATGGCGGTCTCTGGCGCTTCGTCAATCGTCACTGCGTCATCTTCGTTGCTCTCCCGCTTGCCTTGCTGCTCATACGTGGTTGCAGCAGCAGCCACAGGAGCAGAAGCGTCGAGGTGCGAGTCAGCCATGGTGCTGTCGTCGTTGACAAACAGCTCCAGCTGCTCCAGGTGTGAGGCAATGCCGCTGATGAACGCCGGCGCGATAGACGAGGACATGTCGTGCTGCGCCGCCTTTGGTGAGCACCGAAGCTCATCCACATCCAGCGACATCTCAAAGGCATCCTCATCATGGGCATAGCCGCGATCGTCGTCGTCATCATCATCATCATCATCATCATACTCCTCCACACTCTCAAACTCATCATCATCGCCTTCATGATCGTCATCCTCATTGCCACCTCCGGCCTGCATGAGCCGCAGCTGTGACTCGCGTCGAATCGCCCTCTCCTGCTGCTGGAACTCTTCCATGGACGCATGCAAGTCATCGTCGTCAGCAACAGGAGCATCAGCATCGGCGCCATCGCCGCGACCCGGGGTGCTGCCGCCGCTGCGTGTGTGTGCAGCGCTGCTGGTTGTCGCTGCTGCTGTTCCCTGGCTGAGCCGCCTGGCTGGGTGCACCACCTCATCCACGTCCACTGTCCTGTCCGCGTAGCGCTTGGGGGTGGGCAGCGGGCGCGGTGTTGCCGCCAGCGAGAGGCGTGGGGAGCGCGGGGATGTGGGCGACATGGTGACGTCGTCGAGACGGCTGAAGAAGTACGAGTCGGACATGGACGGCCCCGTTGCGCCAGAAGCCGCGTTGGTGGCGCGCGTGGCCGCAATGCCCGTGAACATGGTGGTCACCTCCTCCGGCAGCAGCACGCGGGTGACGGGGGTGTGGCGCACCATGTTGCTGTTGAGGCGCAGGCGCAGCTCAAAGTCCTGGCAGTGGCCAAGCCCGATGCTGGCGTTGTCGGCGAGGGCAAGCGGGCGGCGCGCCAGCACGCCATCAACGTACATGGTGGCGCCGGGGAAGGGCGAGACAGCCACGCCGGTGGTGGTGACAAACAGCTCGCAGTGCTGCTGCAGGATGCCTGGGCCCGTGACAACGACGTGTGCGTTGGCGCTGCGGGAGCCGATGATGGTGGAGCCAACTGGCATGCGGTACGCGTCTGTCACGTGGCCGTGAACCACACACTGCAGCGTGGGCGAATGCTCTGTCACCTTGTTTGCCCTGCGCCCCGGTGTCGGCTGGGCTGTGCCCGCGTCAGTGATCTCTGTCATGTCCACTTCCTGCTCTTGTTCCTGTTGTTGTTCCTGTTGTTGTTGTTGTTGTTGTTGTTGTTGTTGTTGTTGTTGTTGTTGTTGTTGTTGTTGTTGTTGTTGTTGTTGTTGTTGTTGCTGTTGTTGTTGTTGCTGCTGCTGCTGTGGCTGCTCCTTGGTGCTGTCGTCTGCTGCTGAGTTGGCGCGTGCCGTTGTCTTGGGGCTGCGGCGTGGCGAGCGTGGCAGCGGCAGAGCGCGTTCGCCCATTGACGCGCGGATGGCTGGCGGCGACGGCACAACTGCTGCTGGCGACGTCGTGCTTGTGCCCTGCATCCACCGCGCAGTGACAGGCGAGTCGTTCATCTCCCGCACAACAAGTGGTGGGATGTCCTGTGCATCAGACGCGTGCGAGTGGGCGCTGGTCGTGCTGCGGAAACTCTCAGAGACGCTGCCGTCCACGAACGACCGCGACGCTGCGGTGCTCTCATGTGCCTGCTGCTGCTGCTGCTGCTTCTGTTGCTGTGGTGACATGGCCTGCTTTGCAGGTGTTGTGGTTGTAGCAGCTGCGGTGGCGGTTTGTGGCAGCTGTTGTGAAGACGGCATTGCCTGTGCTTGCTTGTCACCTGCAGCGGTGCTTGCGACCTCGCCACTCTGCTGCTGCTCGCTGGTAGTTGATTGGTGTCGTGCTGTTGCTGCCGCAGCTGTTGAAGCTGTGGATGCCGCAGTGGCTGGCCGGCTGCTGCTGGCGCTGCTGTTGTTCGTCGTACTTGTGGTGGCGCCCGTGGCACCGTCGCCTTGTTCGCGTGGGAGTGCTGCCTCTGCGCCCACGCTGAGCGAACTTCCCTGGCGCGACCCCGTTGCCGGCCGGATTCGCAGCAGCTCAAACCTGCAGGCAGTGTGTGTGTGTGTGTGAGCGTGTGTGTGTGAGCGTGTGTGTTTTGCACAGAGAAGGAGGGACACACTCACAGAGAGAGAGAGAGAGAGAGAGAGAGATTGTGTGTGAGGTTGAATAGTGTTGGGGAAGTGGTTTGTCTGCAGTCTTTGCTCGTGCAGTGGGCTTTCATTCACACACACATGTGTGTGTTCATGTACTTTACGACGCACCTTCGCTTGTCGGACTTGTATTGCTCGGCGACAAAGACTGGCAAATCCGTGTCTGCAAGCACGAGGGTGCCGGTGCTCCTGTTGCAGGAGCAAGAACAACACCACAAGGAGAGACGTGTCAGTCCACGAGTTTGGGTGGGCTGTTTGTGAATACAAGTGTTGCTGTGGCAGGGGCATTCATAGCACACAACACAATACACCACAACACACATAACAAACCCAACACAACACATAACACAACACAGCACTTCACAACACAGCACTTCACAACACAGCACATCACAACACACACAGCACAACACAACACACACACACACACACACAACACAGCACAACATAACACAACGCACCTGCGTGGCAGTTTGAGCATTTTCTTCCCGCCGCCCTCTTTGTTCTTCGTGTAGCAGAGAGCAAAGTTGTGTGGATCCTCAGCAACGTCAAACTTGTTCAGAGCCCGCACAATCACCTGCGGTTGTTTGAACACGGGTGACGTGAGAGAGATTACGATGTGACGAGGAGGTGGATGGTGGTGGAAGTGCATGGCAGAAAACAAGTACACAAGCACACACAAGCCCACAGCAGCAACAATACACACAGCGTCCATCTCTCTCTCTCTGTCTCTCTGTCTGTCTGTCTGTCTCTCTGTCTCTGTGTCTCTCTCTCTGTGTCTGTGTGTCTGTGTGCTCTCTCCCTTTGCACCCTTCACTCTCCGTCTCTCCCTCCCCTCCTCCCTCTCTCTCTGTATGACGCCTCAAACGCACGTCTCGGGTGGTCATGCCCGTGTGGATGAAGATGCTCTTGTACTGCACGCCGGGAGCGGTGATGGCTTTGCCTTTGTAGATGCGCAGCGACACCACCTTGCGGTCGTTCCTGTGATAGACCCAAGAGAGAGCGTGTGTGTGTGTGTGTGAATGTACGTTCGTGAGTGTGTGTGTGTGTGTGTGTGTGTGTGTGTGTGTGCGTTTGTTGTTGCGTGAGAACCAAGGCGGCGCGCATGGAGAGAGCGAGCGTGTGTAAAACCCTCTGTCACTCACTTGCACACACACACCCTCACGTTCGCACCCAAAGTTCTCGAGGATGACGCCAGGCCCTTGGGTGGAGGTCTTGTTCTGAAAGGCCTGCAACCCTGCTGCGCTCTGTTGCGTGATTTGAGACGTGTGTGTGTGTGTGTGAGCTGGGACGATGAATCAACTGTCTTCAGCCAAGGCAAGGCAAAGCGTTGGCAGTGCAGTCCAGCAACAAGGGCCGGCTCCCCCATCCCGGGGCGTTGGTTGGTCTGTGTGCCTTTCTCTTTGACCCACCACGGCATACTGCTTGACGCCTGTGTTTGGCTGTGGCTCTGCTGGCACATGATGTGCGTCCATTTCCTTCTTGCTCACAGTGCTACTCCTGCTGCTTCTGCGACTGAGATCTACATGCGTGTGTGTTTGTGCGTGTGCACACGTGTGGTGAGCGTAGTGTGTGTGTGTGTGTGTGTGTGTGTGGTGAGCGTGGTGGAGTGCCAATGCGTCCACAACTGCAAGCGCATCTTCACACACACACACACACACGTATACGTAAACACAGACACATGTGGATGCGTGGATGCGCACACACACACACACATACACACACGCATCCACGCATTCACACACACAAACACACAAACACACACACACACACACACACACACACACACACACACACACACACACACACACACACAC